TACTATACCGGACTTTTTTTGGTGCCAAGAAACATGTGTATCAAGTTTCATCAAGATATCTGAATTTTTACTCAAGTTACTGCTTCCACGTAAACATATATTTATTGACAAATTTAGGTATACAAAAGTGGTGTCGACTAATAATTAATATAAGAGTTTAGACATTGTCTAATCTACTTAATTATAAGAATGATTATTATGATATAAGCTTAATTATGACAATAAATAAATAGAGGCCAAAATTAAGGAATAAAATATATTTGTATTGTAGAAAAAAATAATAATAATATAATAAATGCTTACACTATAGTTATGAAACAAGTTCAATTATGTGTTGATAAATTGAATTACAGCAATTGGAATTATAATTTTGCGTTAGTTTATGAAGTCTGTCAGACGGTAGCTCTATATTAGACAGAAGGTGCAGATTCATAGTTAGATTGAATATATTACTAGTTTGTACACACACATATAAAAGTATTGTAGGTGTACATAAATACATACATATAAACATCTGCATATATGATGCGCAATTTGTTCATACTAACCTGGTAAATTTCACTTTTTAAACAACGAATACAAATAAAGATTATGAATTCGTTTCTACTTATGCAAATAAGTATATTCATACATACAAGTAGTTGTTTATGCATGTATATGGGCGTGTTGCCATTTTGCATACAGTCATGGCCATGACTTTGAACTAAAAAGTAATGGTTTAGAAATCAGTAAAACTAAAAACTATTCTGATGAACAAGTATGTATGAAAGCAACATACATTAGATATGAGCAAGCATACATAAACAGTGTCGGATAAAACTAAAGTACGAAGTTCACCTTATACACATTTAGTTAAAAACAAAATGTAAACGTTTTGCCAAAGTTTTAATTTTTCTATGAATACAATAGGATTATATGTTTAAAACACAAATTTATCAAGCTGAACCTCTTTTTACTACAAATAAGATTTTGACATACAAAAATTTCGCATAATATGTATATTTGCTAAGACAAAACTAAAGCACTAAACTATATTTATTTACTTATTGACCTTAATTTCAACAAGTCCCGTTAAAATTCCAACTGTAGTTAGAAACCGTTATTTGAAGAGTGTGCGTATTTTTAATACAATTAGATTAATCAATTGTGATCAACTCATGGTGTCAAGGATGACATGATGCGAGACTCTCTCATTTTCGCTGATTTTTCTGTTATTCTCTTTCCCTGATTATTAAAATCAGGGAATTTCGAACAGCTGATGTTAAAAAAGGCGGGATGCCAGAAATAAACCCGCTAAAAATAGCTAACCAAAGCAGTGCGAAAAGAAATTTCAAGGAACGACACAAATACCTATTATACTTTTGAATAACGTGCAACTAAATTTTATTTGTTAATTTAATTTAAAACGTTCATTATAAAACCATGATCTTTTTTTATGACTTGTATTGTTTCTTTGTTATAATTTTTTTATTTATATGCTATTTTTTATGTTATGTGATTTTTTAAAAATTTTATGATGTAAATACAAGTATATAGGGATGTATATGCGTTATATAAGCCTACTCGGGGACGGAGCACCTAAAAATAATATCGAAATGCAAAATACCCCCAAGTTTTTTTTATAATACCCAATCCATTTTCGTTCGACAGTGGCATGATTGGCAAATGTTATAAAAAATGTGGGTTTTGACAGCTCTCTCTCAATTCAAAGAGTCTCGCATCATTTCATCCTTGATGGTGTTGTTTTGTAATAATAAAAAAATATTTGTGAAATGGCGCGTAATAAGTCTCAAAAATTATAAGTCGTTTTCTTTCTTCGGGCTCCCTAACCACAATTTATGTAGCAGGTTAAACTCCTACTTATCCAGAATAGACCCAGACATACCAAACACATGTCCTGCGTGCAATGAGTCTCCGAATTGACACTAACCACCTCTTTGCATGCCCAACGAACACCACTCATCTAACACCCTTTTCCCTATGTTCCGACCCCGTCGAAACAGCTCGTTTCCTGGGCCTCCCGTTAGATGACCTCGACGACAACCAATCTAGAATTTATCACCCAAACGGGGATAAGGTAACCGTTACAACAACAACCACTAGCCGGCAGGACATGGCCATAGTGCGCTTCATAAAAAAGATCCCATTATATCAACTAAATCAATCCAGAGTGAATTGGGCTTGAATATTTCGTGCAGATCCATCCAGCGACGATCTGTAGAAAATAACTTTATAACCTGCAGAAGTGCCAAAAAGCCATAAATTTCGCACAAAACTTGAAAAGCGTGGCTTGAATTTGCAAAAGCTCATGCTAACTGGAGTATTACAAAATGGAGGAGTGTACTTTTTATACTCTCGCAACCTGTTGCTACAGAGTATAATAGTTTTGTTCACCTAACGGTTGTTTGTATCACCTAAAACTAATCGAGTTAGATATAGGGTTATATATATATAAATGATCAGGATGAAGAGACGAGTTGAAATCCGGGTGACTGTCTGTCCGTCCGTCCGTCCGTCCGTCCGTGCAAGCTCTAACTTGAGTAAAAAATGAGATATCTTTATGAAACTTGGTAGACATGTTTCTTGGTACCGTGAGACGGTTGGTATTGCAGATGGGCGTAATCGGACTACTGCCACGCCCACAAAACGCCATTAATCAAAAACAAATAACTTGCCATAACTAAGCTCCGCAATAAGATACAAGACTGTTATTTGGTACACAGGATCACATTAGAAAGGGGCATCTGCAGTTAAAACTTTTTTTTTAAAAGTGGGCGTGGTCCCGCCTCTAATAGGTTTAATGTGCATATCTCCTAAACTGTTAATGCTATATTAACAAAATTCACTAGAAGCAAATGTTTTTAGCACTTCTATTGACGGTGTGAAAATAGTTGAAATCGGGTGGCAACTCCGCCCACTCCCCATATAACGGTACTGTTAAAAACTACTAAAAGCGCGATAAATCAAGCACTAAACACGCCAGAGACATTAAATTTTATCTCTGAGATGGTATATATTGGCTTTATAGGAACCGCGTTCAAAATTAGTCAGTGGGTGTGGCACAGTCCACTTTTAGGTGAAAACCCATATCTTGAGATCTGCTCAACCGATTTCAACCAAATTCAGTGCATAACGTTCTTTTCATGTTTCTATGTCATAGTGCGAAAATGGGCGAAATCGGACTACAACCACGCCTATTGCCCATATAACACCATTTTAAATTCCATCTGATTCTTTCACTTTCCACTATGCAAATCAGGCAACAATGACTGTATCGGGATAAAACTTTGCGTGAATAATGCGATTAAAGTATGCCACCTTGTGGCTAAAAATTATCTAAATCGAACCAAAACTGTTTAAGCCCCTAAGTACTAAATATGTGGACCCCATTGCCTATAGTTGACCTTCTACCGAAAATATCAGTCAATCCACAAAGAAATCTCAAACGAGTATACTATTTGACTTTGCGAGAGTATAAAATGTTCGGTTACATCCGAACTTAGCCCTTCCTTACTTGTTTCTGATAAGTTCAAGTACAATATTAAAAGAACTGATGGATTAAAGCTGGTACGATGACCAAAAGGTCAACGTTTAAATCCGCATTATTTACAAGATACTGTGAAACATGGGGGAGGTAATGTAATGGTTTGGGGATATTTCTCAGATCATGGAGTAGGCCCGATCCATCAAACTTATGTCATCAAAAGGATCGTTTTATGTACAAAAACATCCTTCGAAACGTTATGCTTCTTTATGATGACGAGGTAATACCTTTAAAATGGAATTACCAACACGATAACTATCCGAAACAATGTGTAAAGGATTGGTTTATTTCCAATAAAATAGAAGTTTTGAAATAGACCGCGCAATCACCTGATCTCAATCCCATAGAGAATCTATGGGAAATTGTAGATCGTAAACTTCAGCGGGAAAATTGTAAAAACAAGGACTCTCTCTTTACCCAAGTCCAACGGGCATGGAAAAACATTTCTCAAGACATCTTATATTAATAATTGAATCTATACCACGAAGATGTGAAGCCGTTATAAAAAACAATGGATATGCCACCAAATATTAACAACAAATACTATTGTAATGTGCTTTAGTTTTTTCGTATATATTTTATGTATATTGTTAACCTTTAGGTCATATTAAAGTGTAAAATGAATTAATATGTTACGTTTTTTTTAATACATCAATAAAAATCTATATTTTTTTAGTGAAATAAAATAGAAAATATTAATTTAATAACAGTAAATAAATTTTATGCAGTTAAATGGTAGGTATTGTAAATTCCGTGCTTTAGTTTTGTCCGACATTGTATATGTATGTACCTATGTATTCGTGTATATGAATACCTATGTATTTAATTACAAATGACATCTATCTACACTTTATATCTAGTGCGAATAGGATACAGCTTTGATCGTGATCGCAGTTGCTATTTTTCAGCAAGTTTGTCGATGAAGTTACAGTCTAGCTAAAAGTTGATTCTTTTAAATACTTTGTATTAAATTTTGTCCAAAGGCTTGTTAAACACATATTATTTTGGAACGTGATCCTGCTCTAAAAAAAAAATTTTAAGAAATCGGACAATATCTTTTTTTTTCTCTTTTAAACCTGATAACCAAATTCATAGAAATCACAAATAATGAATCATCGATAAAGAAACCACTGATAAAACATGAAAAAGTTGAACCAATCTCAATTTAACTGATATATTTATTATCACTGATATCAAAGCTTTATGCATAAAATTGTTTGAAACAACTATGACTTTATAACCGGTATTTCAAAAAATTTCTAAAATTTATTGATTTTTCAGCGAAGAAAAAATTAAATCCGGTTGTTGTATGTGCCACTTATTGGTGATTTAAATATTATTGGAAGTACTCGGGACAACTAACAATGATTTTAAACTACAGTCGGTAAATAATTTTGGTATCTAAACATGTATAAAATATCTCATTTGCTTAAGAATAGTTTAAATGTTCACTTACAGCACTCCTGAACATCTGGTACAAACAAACGATCCAATTGTCATGTTAACGTACGTGGGACCCTTCTGGCCACAATCAAAACATTGCCTATTGCCACCACCGTTGATCACCAATTCTCTTAATACCTGCAGATACTTGTCATCCTGTTTCTTGCGAACCACAGCTGCCATATCCGCAATTTGTAATGAATGTGACTGCTTAGAGGTACTAAGTTGAGAATGAATTATGTTGTTTTGTTGTTGCTTTTCCCTGAGAATTTGTTGTAATATGTATGGTTCCGCAGTTGTCGTTTTGATCCCCTTGGTTGTAGCTGTTGGAAATTCAGCTTCACTGTCAGATGACGCAAACCGCTCTGTATCCGATGGTGGATTAGAGACAGACGTCCCTTGGGGATCCGTAATTTCGGAATGTAATGAAGAGTTGTAAACAAAAACGAATTGAATTTTGTTGCCTTGTTTTGTTTTTTCCTTAAGTATTGGAAAAGGCGACACAGTTCTTTAAAAAAATTTATAAATTTTTTAAAATCAGTTAATTTCACACGGTAGATTTTCCTATATAATTTTGATATTATTCTGCCCAGAATATAAGCTCCAAATCCCGGTGATTAAGAGGACATAATATGTGTATATTTGGGAGTACAAAATCACAGCACTACACTTTTACGTACTCGTCGCAACCAACCAAACTTATTTATGCAACTGCCACTGTCACTGACACTTTTTACAATGAATCCGCAACAACCATAGCAATTCATCGACAAGTAGTTAGGACCGTTATATATTTGTGTGCATATATATACTTGAATTTTTCTAACTATTTACACACTGCACTTTGCAAACAAATAAAACACCTTTTTATATATTAGTATTATAATCATTTAAATTTTTGCTTTGTTTTATATTGAACTGACGGGCTTTCGATATTAAAACGCATATTACGCGACTCTTGAGGAAAAGTTATTTAGTAAACATCAGCTAACAACAGATAATAAGAAGGACCGTAATATAAATTCCACAACAATACATCAATAAACCACGAAATATAATAAATCTACTACCTCTGTTCTTTTTGCTCAACTGAAAAATAACTTTTGGTCTAGTTAACGTCAAGAGAAAACTTTCAAGTCCAGTGTTGTCTAATGCATATTGAATACTACTTTTGTATGGTATGGATAGTTTAGCCTGCCCATCCCTAAAGCGGAGATACCGCTGTTTCCTGCACAAAGTAAATATGTATATCTTAAAATGTTTTTGGCAGCATTGTCATAGAATTTTGCAAATGGTTTCATGAATAAAGATAATTTCTTAAGTTAAATTAAAAAACAAATTACTGCAAAAGTGAAAAAATGCCAATACAACACTTTTGAATGCGTTCGTAGATCTTTGTAACGTTATTCTGTGTTTAGGTTTAGAGCACAAATGTTATGTGTGAAATTAACAACGCTTACATATGTTTATATTTTATAAATGATTATATTATTAACAAAATAAGAACACAGAAAGGTAGGCTGTTTTGTACATCTACCTCTATGTATATTGATGAAATGATAGCCTTTTGGTTACAGATCGTACTCAAACTGGCATATTTGACAGAAGCGCTTTTTGTGCATCTGTGGCGGCAGAGATACCCAACTCTCATGTCTGAGATAATGGGATGCCCAACTCTTTCCAGTATGAGAGCGCCTCAAAATACCCATCATTTATTAAGATTAAATGTTATTATACATGTATCCGTTAAACATATGCAGAAACCTGTTATACTCTCTTTTTGTGATTTTTTAATATATTAAACAATTGATTTTTGAACTTTCAATACGTAATCAAAAGAATAAGTGTATTGCTCTCAATTAATAAATGTTTTTAAAAATTTTCAATTGAAAATCAATACTACTAAGCCTGACATAGTTTTTCTGCATTCCTTTTCACCAAATTTTCGTAAATATTTGTGCGGTTCGACTGCGCAACACTTAGAGCGTGTTGCATTTCATTTGTATGTTGAGATGTTGGTCACACATTTTGCTTGCAATGAATTACCATGAATATGGTAGAACAATATGCATAATACCTAATACCTACCCGCTTAATAGTTTCAAAGAAATACTTAAGACGGGAATTCCCTAATCCACCAGAATGTATTGAATATCCGCTACTAATATTTTCAAGGCTAAATTTATAACAGGAATTTCCTAATCTTTAAGTATTAAAAATTCATAATTTCTTAACTCCATAATCTATATCTTAATTTTCTCCTTATTTATAATTTTTCAAAATATTTCGATTATTCTATACCATTCAAAGAATTTGAAAGTGAAAAGGAATGCTGACAAGGGTAGCAGCGAGCTATTACGTACAAGAACACAAAGCGTGCCACCCGAACGCCAGTGGCACGGTCCCTTCGTCTTTCCTCGTCGTCCCCTCACCCACAATAAACCGGTTTGGGATACAAAAGAGTCTGTGTGTAAAAGCGATCTTAGTGATCTTCAACTGTTCTGTTCTGTTTACATATTTTTCTATAGAACTTTGACAGTTGTTTGAGTTCAGTAAGTTTCGACGTTTAGCAATTGCGCTCTCGTTTCCAGTGAGAGACGAGTTGGGCATCTCTTTATCTCTGTCTCATGTCATTGAAAGTTCATCCTTATTGGAAGTAAGAGCCGACATTTGTTGACTTTGAGTTGAGTACAGGGCTTATACAATGGTGCAGTGCTTTGATGTAATACAATGAAAATTAAAGAAAACGTGAAATTGAAAAGCATGTGATGAAATCTTTTGTGACGTCATGCCTCGTAGTATTAATTTATAATGATACAAGATAAAAGATATTTATTAATTGAGAGCTAATGCGTTTAATTCACTTTATTAAGTATTGAAAATTTAAAAATCAGTAGTTTTAATATATGTATCACAAAAAAAGATTTAAATTGTTTCTCCATGTGATAAACGGATATATAAATATTGAAATTTTTAATCTTAATAAATTTTAAAGCCCAATATTTATTTTTTAAACTGATCTGGCTACAATGGAAAATGTTATAAAAGATGCAAATTTTGTGGCATCCCTTTATCCCTGCTGGCGGTGTTATTATATATTTACTGCTTTTCCTCACCACCTCTGAGGTTGCAATATAGGCGCGTTACCGATCTTTTTTGGGTGTTCGGTTCCCCACATGGATAATATGATCCGAAACTCTTTGAATCAAGAGAGCGCTGTAAAAGTCCACATTTTTTATAACATTTGACAGTGGTGCCGCTGTGGAAAGAAATAAGTTAGGGAATTTTTATTACATTTTTTGGGAATTTGTAATTTCCACACCACCGCTGAGGTATACAAAAGGCGAGTTACCGAAGTTAGTTTTGGGTGCTCGGTTCCCCCGTAGGCCTATATCACCCATATAGGTACAAAATAAAATTACAATAATTTCCAAAATTCACAAATAATATAAAAATATAGAATATTTATCATATAAGATAAAACTTAAAATTTTATAAACAAAATATCACATTCACATATAATAAAGCTGTGGACAGCAAATATTTAAAATAAATAAATAAATATAACTAATGCCTAATATTTACATATTTACATATATAGAAAATATCCTACACCCAGTTTTCAGTAATAATTAATTATTTAAAACTATAAGGACCGAAAAGAAAATAAGAGCTTTGAAAATAACTCAACTTTATATATTTACATATATGAGAAAAAAATTCAAAAAATAAAGTTTTCACACATATGCTTCCGTAGGGATTTGAAGATATTTTACCACCTACTCAATTTTATTTTATATATAAACACTTATACAAATATTTTTAATTAACAATACCACATTAACTATTGCTGCTTCAGCATTAAACTTTCTGACGAAAAATAATGAACTGGTTTTGTCAGTTAATTTTAACGGGATTTTATCTGGCAGTTCATTGTTTTGGTTGTCATCTGTTCAGTAGCTCATGAACTCGTGGTTTTTCTTGGCAGCACTGAAAGTTCATGAGCTCTCTCGAAAGGCAAAGAGAGGAGTTTCGGATCATTTTATCTATGGTTCCCCAGGAGGCCTATATTCACCCATATAATATATACACTTCTAAAACAATCTACTTTTCATAACAATTATTCAGGTACATGAATCAGGTTCATGAATATTAATTACATTAACAATAAAAGTTGAAATATTCAACTTGATTTGAACAAAAACGAAAATAAATATATAAAAATCAGGTACAATTCAATTGTATTCATGAACAAATATAAGTGAAAACAATCTACTTGTAATAATTTTAGCAAAAACAAAAATATATATAAAAAATTAGGTGCAATTCAGTAACAATAACAATAATCAAAACAAACTACTAAGTAATAAATAATATTTACAAAATATTCAAAATCACCCACAGCGAAATACTAAATAAAAAAAAACCCTATCAAAGGAATAGTGGTGGAGAGAAGGGTCCTATACTTGGTACACGAAAATACTTAGAAAACAAAAAAATATGTAATAAGCGTACAAACCTAATCACAAAAATTCTCATTTCAAAATCATAGATCCAGGTAACTATGGTGGTTAATGCGGTCTTCGGATAAACATTTTGACAAATATAAAAGAATTCAGACTGACAGACATATATGTAAAATCCGGCACATATAGGCAGACAAACGGACGTGATTTTTTATGTGTAACACACAAGAACTTAATGTTTTTGAAATCACTTTGTTTCACTTTTTTGTTAAAAGCATTTACTAAGAAATATGTTCTAATTCTAATGAATAGACATTTTATAGTATCGGAATTACAATTTTCACAACAATAGTATGGTTCTACGTCCACCATTTTTTCAAATAATAATTGGGAAAAGCCGATCCTGTGACAAGTTGAATCAAAATGTTGTGTATAAATATCTTCGATTTTTGACAGAAAATCTATAAACTCAGAGGGTGGTTTTACTATATGGCAATTACTATATTGCTTTTCTGAAGTGAAGAAAAATTCTTCTTCAGTAATATCACCATCAAATATTGGCAAAGGCATTAAACAATTATGTTGTTTAAAATATTTATAATACAAGTATCCGCAGAAATATACAGAAGCATTTTTATGCAGAAAGCTGCTTTCGTCTAAATCCACATTTACCTCGATTTGTATATTTTGAAATGAGGTATAATTGGTAGGTCTTGGTAAACCTTGAAATGTTTGCCAAGAGGTGTTTTGAACCAAAGCGTCGTTACAGGCGCTTTGGAGGGAGCTATTACAAAATGACTCACACTGGTCAACTGGCAAGAGTTCGCAATTCCCTTTGTCTACATTTCAATTCATAGAATTTACAAACCGTTACACAATAATATATTTGATAAAATTGGAAACATTTAATAATATTTCAATACAATAAATATTAATTTAAATAATAATATGTAAATTTAATCTTTAGGAATTAAAACAACTAAAAAATATTTGAATATGGAATAAAAACATTCTTAAAGTTATAAATTTTAGAACATAACACAGCAGCACACTATAGCAGATTTCTGTCATTTGGACGTTTTAGTAGTAGAATATTGTTTGGCAACCCGTACAAAGTGTGACTTTAGTAGCAGAATATTGGTTGGCAACCCGTACCAAGTGTGATTTTAGTAGTAGAATTTTCGAGGCAACCCGTACCAAGTGGGATATTTTTGCATGTGTATTAGTGAAAATCTTAGGATTTGTTACTTGTAGATTTATACAATGGGTTCATAATAGAAGTGTTTTTGCGGAATCATAGCAAAACTCATTCTTCGCAAAACTAATACGAAATGGATGAAGCTAAATGGGCAATCACGGAGCAACTTGGTTTCCAGGCACAATTTAACTGTAAAGTGAAGGAACATTTAACGAAATTTGTTGTCCATCATTTCACAAACAAATGTGTGATTCTAATTACACAGTACGGGGGTCTACCAAATTTATACATGGTTCAATTTGATGCGAACGATGGCCATGACGAACGCATGTCAGCTTTGGTAAGGCAGAAGTTATCAATGCAAAATATTTTATAACTTTTTCTCAATTAGAATATATCCGAGCTACACACGTCGGTGCCAGTGACCATAAAATGCTTATTAGGTGTTGACAAAATGGAGATACGCGCCGGTATACAGTTTTTAATCAACAGAACTAAACTAAGCCAATGTAAAACTGATATTGTAATTACGCTTGGACTAAGGGAAACTAACGGAGATGTCCTTAAAGAAATAGCAGACATTCTCCATAGAAAAGCGTTGTAGAATTTCTAAATATAATCATAAAATAATTTTGTGGTAATAAAATAGTTTTTAAACACAAAATACTATGTTATATATATAATAATTATATTTATAAAAACAAAAAATATATTAATATCAATGACGTTTTATTCTTAATTCTCATAGAGAACAAATAACACGCGGTCAAATTGATGATTACAAATATTTATTGAGCGAAGCATAGTAAACAAAACTCAAAACAGATTGACCATATCATCATATTATCTTACAAAATTATTGAAATATACTAAATATTGTACTTTGAAATCTACATCAAAGCTTATAACTAATGTTTTGCGTTTTATGATTTGTTCTTTCAACATAAAATGTTCGAATTCCTTCTTATAATAATTGCTCATATATTAGAGAATAGTTAAACTATATTTTAGATTTTTCTTAAATCCAACACAAAAACGCTGCCATCCGAAGCGCTGGCACCCACTTTAGTGCCCTTGGAATTCCAACAGACCTCAAAAATACCACCTGTGCCTTTGTAACTGTGTACTAACTGTCCAGACTGAGTACTCCAAATATGTACACATTTATCAAAACTTCCCGACGCTAAATATTTACCGTCTGGACTAAATGCTACCGAATAAACAGGCTCTGTATGTTTCGTAAGAGTATGAATGCATGTGCCACGCTCAACATCCCATAGACGTACAGTGGAGTCAAATGACGCGGAAGCAAGTATTAGATTCGTGTTAGGATTTTGTGTTCCGGGTCCAGTGGGAGACCATTTGATTGTATAGATTTCCTTAGAATGTGCTTGTAAATCATGACAACATTTGTCTTGCTTCATACTCCAAATTTTCAGTGTCATATCGTCCGAGCAGGAAGCAAGCAATTGACCTTGTGGGCACCATTTTATGGCGTTCACCTCATTAGTATGACCTTTAAATGTTTTAATGGGCATATCTGAGCCAAGGCGACACACATGGATACGTTGATCAGTACTGCATGAGGCGAATGATACGTTTGTTTGCCAATCGACATCCAGTGCAGGTGCATTGTGGAAAGAAAATTGTTGGTTACATTGTCCGGTTGAAGCATCCCAGATTATAGTGGTCTTGTCAACACCTGCCGATAGTATATAATTACCCCGTTTATTCCATTTTAATGCAAATATTGGACCCTTATGTTGACCCAGAGTTGATGCCAAGCGACCATCGGTTTTCCATATGCGTGCGTAGCCATCATAACTCCCTGTAGCTAGCAAGGTACCATCGCACTAAAACAAATATGTTTTTAAATGTGTACATTTCTTTTGGTAAACAATATAATCTTTAAAGCATTTACGTGTACTTACATTCCAATCTAACGATGTAACGTCTTTGTTGCTCGGAACTTCGGCGCCTCCCTTTTGAATGCAATGGCGTAAAACTAATTGATTAGGGCTACTGGTTGCATCAGACATATCCCATATGCGTGCAGTGCTATCACCAGAACCACTTGCTAGAAGGTCTCTACTAGGGTTCCAAGCACATATGAATACTTCGCTCTCATGTCCACGGAGAACTGTTGCCTTAGAGGCAGGTATCTCAATACCTTGATCGATATCCATTGGCTCTGTTCCTGTTGTTGAAGCAGTATTACCCAATTGTATTTGGGCCAAAATATCAGAGTTGCCTGCAGCATTGTTATTATTAGCAGTGCTGCCGGTAGAGGTAGTTGTGGTACAGGCACCTGAAATATTTGTTCCAGTTGCTGAACCAGTTACTACTGCATTTGTGGTTGTTGTTGGTTCATTGACATTAGCGTTAGTGCCTGCGTTAATGCCGTTATTGACATTTGTATTTGTTGTAAGATCATTTGTGGCTAAAGAGGTGCCAGATGTTGCTTCCGAGGGGTTGACCTTTTTATTTCCCGTTGAAGGTGTGTCACTAGTTGTTCCAGCAGTAGAATTAGCAGTTCCAACGGATGGTGCACCAGATGTTGCGCTATTTGCAGCTGAATTAGTATTGCCATCAGTTTCATTAGAATCAGCAGATGCAGGAGCTCCTCCCGCCTGTTGTTCATTGTTTGTCGTAGCTCCAGGAGTACTGCCCTCGGATTTTACTTCCGATTTTACGACACCACCTGTGGTTGTTGACGATGCAGCTGCGCTATTGCTGTCTGCACTAGCTTTGCCAGGCTCCGATTTTACTGGTGTTGGTTTTGGTGGCTTTACTTCGGGCATAACGGCATCAATTAAACTTAATCCTTCAACTGAACGACCAGCTTCACCATCCTCCCCAACGCTCCATTCAACTTCTGTATACATTAAACCTTTTTGAAGAATGGTGAGAAGAGCAGCTGGTGGTACCAAAGCGCCATTTATGTTGCTTTGTGAAATGTGAGACTCCACACCAAACACAAAAGCCGAATGTACAAAACCTATTACATTTTTATATGCTTAAAATTTTTATAATATTAAGTGGGTAATATAACATATTTTACCGGATTCTTGCAGGTATCTATAAACCAAAAAGTTTACCTCGTCGCTGGAAAAACTCATTTTGTGGATATACTTTACTATGTTCCGGCTACACTTTTTTCAATGTCCTTTTACTAATATATTTCCTCAAAACTTTTTCTCCCGTTTATTATACTTAATTATCGTCTCAATTTTGGAGATATTTATTTAGGCTTATGCATAATTTGAGACATACATAAAATAAATTAATTCTGTGGATTTAACACTTAAATAATTTTTGACGTGTTATTAAGATTTTATGTTACGTAGTTAAGTTAGCTGTGAATACGTTAATTATTGATGTCACATAATGGCAATCTCAAAAATATAGCGTATTACACGTAACACTAATAAACAAATCAGGATATATTTAGTATTATCTGACTTGTGATGATTTTTCTAATTTTACATATAATTAATTTATAAATTTTTACATGCAACATACAAAAGTTGGGCATCATTTAGGCGCCGGTCTATTGTGACTTGTCCTCCTTTGTCAAGAGTTGCTAATATTCGTTGAATGGCAGCACTGCTGAGGAAAAGCGAAAATCAGAGAAAACTGTGCAAAAAGTCAACGTAAGGAAAAATCAATAAAAATTTTCATTTTCACTAGTGGTGTATTGTATTTTATGCAGAAATTTTGTTAAATAAATTACCTGAATCTTTAATGGAGTTTAAAGTGAATTAAATAATCAATTATACACGAATATATAAGCTATAAGAAAAGTGGTTTTGCTACGCCCATTTTGACCGAATAGGCCAGAGTCACAGAAAGAAATTGAAATTATTGTTAAATAAGCCGTCGTGTCAAAGTCGCGATCGGTGTCGCCTACTTCGATGCTGTAATCTATAAATCTTAATTCAAGACGTATTTGTTAACATTGCGGTCACCAGTTTGAAATAATAAATCAAAAGTAAGGCGTACAAATAAATTGAAAGTGCACGTTTGTTAAAGATTGTTTTATTACAACTATTTCGCCTTCGTCATCGCTTAATGCAGTTAGGGGCGTGCAGCTAAAAGGCGATAGGGTCGTATTAGTAAAGCGATATAATAGCACTTGCTATATAAAAGAAAAATATTTATGCCATTAGCCGAAAAATTAAACTACTAGAATAACGAAATGAGAAAACTTCTATCAGTTATTGAAATGTGCTATGTTCAAAAGCCGGTTAATTATTTGTGACTGAATTTGAAAGAAAAATGATTCAACTTGCATTCTTTATGCTTGTAGTGTATACCGATATAAGTATATCTGATAGTAAGGTATATTAAACTGTGCCAACTTCACATTGCATTTATTGTTTATTTTGAGATTTTTATGAACGTTGCATTTAAAAATAACGATTGCTAAATGTATTAACTACATAAATTTTTTTTTTTATAATTATACAAACTACAAAAAACAATAAGCACATATTGTATATCACAAATATATTTGCAAATGTATATTTGTAACTAACATTTAATTACTTAACACACGTCCAGATGTAAAATTTAATTTTTTTAAAAGACTCAAGTATCGAAAATTTTTCTATTCCTTAGAAATTTTATTTCTAATAAAATATTTCCCAATGATACGATTTTATAAATGATTGTTTTATGACTAACACAATCATTTAGGTATATAATCATTTGTCGTCGTAAGTGTTATTGAACGAGGATTGACGGAAACATTAAGTAAACATACATTATATATGCACAGGGAATATATGTACATATGTATATACAAGTTTAAATAAAGCGAAGTTGAAACGTTTTATATATTTTTGGCAAAGAATCGCATATAGTATTTTTTACTTTATTTATTTATCAATTATATATGTGTTGGTGATTATAGGGTCAATAAGCGACTTAGTCGTCTCCTTGTGTAAATATGTATATATAAACTATATACATTTATGTACATATATACAAGAAAAAATATTTTAATTATTGAATTAAGTTATAATAGAAGCACCACATAAGGTTTAATTATCTTTGTTATTGTTCTTTTATATCTCTAAAAAGGCCGATTTCAACGCACAGCAAATCACTGCTTTTGTTAATCAGCCAGTCGCTAGTACCGGGCGCAACTAAATTCAAACTACAGCAACTCGGCAGGCATCTTATCTGCCTTGCTGCTGCCTCTGCGTTTATTAGCGAGCACATCGAAACCAATACTCTAAGGCGGATTACGAAAGTTTCGCCATTTGTGTATTAACACATAATATTCAACTGCATAAATAAACGCCGGCGATATACATAGTAGTATTATTTTGAAAAGATTCGTTCGGGTTTACTACAACATTTAAAGTTAAATCATAGCAGCAGGCTCGGCAGCATCAACCAGATTCTCGGAATATTGTTGTTCAACACAAAAGTAAAGGTTTCTTATCGAAGTAGTTTTGCAGTAAATCAGCGAAAATTAATAAATTAACCACTATGGCACCTGTGCGGGGGGACGGCATGAGAGGTTTGGCGGTTTTTATATCGGATATAAGAAATTGTAAGTATTCCTAAAGCGTTGAAACTTTCCAACACAATCGGACATTTCTTTTTCTGATAAGTATTTATGTACATGTACTCACAAACATACATACATGTGCACACAAAGAAATTTATTTAATTTAAATGGTATTTGTATCGCAGGGGCGTAAAAGCACTTCTAAATTGTAGAATGAAGCGTTGCAAGAATTGCTGGTCAGCGACATTTTCCGCTTTAATTTTTATTTCACTGATTTACAGTAACATTTGTGGTTCTCTATAGGCGTATTTTTGGTGTCGTAAACGATCGGAGAAATTATATCGTAATATGTCACACAGCAATTTCCCGTAGGTAAACAATTGTTCCTATGCTTTATTATGTGTTTGCTGGCGCAAATTTTGAGCAGTAAGTGGTTGGTACTGCTTGGCGCCAAGTTTTTAAGAATTGATTGGCATATCACGATGCAGAGGACGCATTTTAATTGAGTGATAGCAATTGAACAATTTAATGTTTGTCACATTTATAACGAATATACATACACGTAACTAATAATATACACATTCTTCGTATGAACCGTACACATTTATTTTAATGAATGCTTCAATTTGTGTCACATACAAAAATTACTTTACTTTATTATTAAAAGTCGTAGAAATCGTAAAAAATAGTACTTACAAAATACTAACAAATTTTTAGTACAATTTTTTATGGAAATCCTCACATTCGCATTCGTAATATAAATGAAAGTACGTTATTTTATAATTAGTTGTGAAAATTTTAAATGAAATTTATAAGTAATTTCTCTGCTACAATTAGAAGTAAAAGTATTATACATTTCTCTTTTGAAGGCTCACAATCTCCTTTTAGAAATTAATGTGTTAAATTCATAAATCCACACATAAATTATTAATAATATATGTATATAATATATATATGTATATATATTGAATAGGTAAAAGTAAAGAGGCCGAAGTGAAGCGCATCAATAAGGAGCTCGCCAATATACGTAGCAAATTCAAAGGGGATAAGACGCTTGATGGCTATCAAAAGAAGAAGTATGTGTGTAAGCTATTGTTTATTTTTCTACTGGGACATGACATCGACTTTGGCCACATGGAGGCGGTCAATTTACTCTCTTCAAACAAATATTCCGAAAAGCAAATTGTATGTATTATGAACTATATATAATTTACAATGAAATATCTTCATATAATATATTTTTAGGGCTACCTATTCATTTCGGTCTTAGTGAACACCAATAGCGATTTAATACGCTTGATCATACAGTCGATCAAAAATGACTTGCAATCCCGTAATCCTGTTCATGTGAACTTGGCACTGCAGTGTATTGCTAATATTGGTAGTCGGGATATGGCTGAATCTTTCTCGAATGAGATACCAAAGTTATTGGTATCAGGGTGAGTAGCTTCTTCTCTTGTAAACTTTGGCTGTGTCATTTTGTATTTTTATTCACTACAGTGACACAATGGATGTTGTAAAACAATCGGCGGCGCTTTGTCTTCTACGTTTATTCCGTTCCAGTCCAGATATAATACCAGGTGGTGAGTGGACTTCCCGTATCATTCACTTGCTCAATGATCAACATATGGGCGTCGTGACAGCGGCCACTTCCTTGATTGATGCTCTTGTTAAGCGCAATCCAGATGAGTATAAAGGTTGCGTAAATCTAGCCGTTTCGCGCCTCTCACGCATCGTTACAGCCAGTTATACGGATTTACAAGATTACACATATTATTTTGTGCCAGCGCCATGGTTGTCGGTGAAGTTATTGCGCTTGCTACAAAACTACAATCCGGTAACTGAAGAGCCTGGTGTGCGAGCACGTTTGAATGAAACACTGGAGACTATCTTGAATAAGGCGCAAGAACCACCGAAGAGTAAAAAAGTTCAACATTCGAATGCCAAGAATGCAGTGTTGTTCGAGGCTATTAACTTAATTATTCATAGTGACAGTGAGCCGAATTTGTTGGTTCGAGCCTGCAATCAATTGGGACAATTTTTGAGTAATCGCGAGACAAATTTGCGTTATTTGGCATTGGAGTCAATGTGCCATTTGGCCACGTCAGAGTTTTCCCACGAAGAAGTAAAGAAACATCAGGAGGTTGTCATTTTATCTATGAAGGTAAGTCTACAAGAGCTCAGTTGTATAGTCTTACAGATGTTTATGGCTATTTTTCACATTCATCTATAGATGGAAAAAGATGTTTCGGTGCGCCAAATGGCCGTGGATTTGTTGTATGCCATGTGCGATCGTGGCAATGCTGAGGAAATTGTACAAGAAATGCTCAATTACTTGGAGACAGCTGACTATTCCATACGCGAAGAAATGGTGCTTAAAGTGGCGATATTGGCTGAGAAATACGCTACTGATTACACTTGGTATGTAAATGACAATAAACAAAAAATAATGCATGGCAATACCTTATATCCTTAACTTGAAAAGATACATTTTAAACTGAAATATCTCATTTGGATAGGTATGTGGATGTCATTCTCAATCTTATACGTATTGCTGGCGATTACGTCTCTGAGGAGGTGTGGTATCGTGTCATACAGATTGTAATTAATCGGGAAGAAGTTCAAGGCTATGCAGCCAAAACCGTTTTCGAAGCTCTGCAGGCGCCAGCTTGTCATGAAAATATGGTTAAAGTAGGTGGATATATTCTAGGCGAATTTGGCAATCTGATCGCTGGTGACTCACGCTCCGCTCCGCTCGTTCAATTCAAATTGTTGCACTCGAAATATCATCTTTGCTCACCTATGACACGCGCATTATTGCTATCTACCTACATTAAATTTATAAATCTATTCCCTGAGATACGCATCAACATCCAGGAAGTGTTTCGTCAACATAGTAATTTACGCTCTGCGGATGCCGAGTTGCAACAGCGTGCAAGCGAATACTTACAATTGAGTATTGTGGCATCGACTGATGTTTTGGCGACTGTGCTAGAAGAGATGCCATCATTCCCCGAGCGAGAAAGTTCGATTTTGGCCGTTTTGAAGAAGAAGAAACCTGGCCGTGTGCCCGAAAATGAGATACGCGAGTCAAAGAGTCCAGCACCAAATGCGTTGGCGCAGAATAACGTAATCGTAAATCACAAGTACGTATAACATAATGGATTTCGTTTGTTCAAGGCTTAACATTATTCCAAAAATTATATCAAATGACAGAGTAAATAGCAATGCCAATGCAGACTTGTTAGGTTTGAGCACACCACCAGCTGGTTTAAATAACACTGGAGGCAGTGGAACTTTAATCGATGTATTGGGCGATATCTATGGCAATAACAATGCGGCGACTTACAACACCAAGAAGTTCCTTTTCAAGAATAATGGTGTGCTTTTTGAAAACGAAATGCTGCAAATCGGTGTCAAGAGTGAATTTCGACAAAATCTTGGGCGTTTAGGCTTATTTTATGGCAATAAGACACAAATACCTTTGACGGTAAGTATATTGTTTATTTTTAATTTTCTCTTAATTAATATCATTTGTTATGTAGAATTTTATGCCAGTACTCCAATGGATCGCAGAGGATGCATTGAAGCTTAATGTACAAGTAAAACCTGTTGACCCTACACTGGAAGCTGGCGCACAAATTCAGCAACTACTCACCGCTGAATGCATTGAGGACTACGCGGATGCACCCACAATTGAGGTGAATTTCCGCTATAATAATGTGCCACAGAAATTCAGCATAAAGTTGCCACTGACGTTAAATAAATTTTTTGAGCCCACGGAAATGAATGGCGAGTCATTTTTCGCACGATGGAAAAATTTAGGCGGGTAAGTTGAGCACATGTGTTACTTTTCCAAAGAGTATACGACTCTATATTTTTATTATCGTATCATACAGGGAACAACAAAGAGCACAAAAGGTCTTCAAGGCACAGCAGCCATTGGATCTCCCGGCTGCGCGCAATAAGCTTATGGGATTCGGTATGCAACTATTGGACAATGTGGACCCTAATCCCGATAATATGGTGTGTGCGGGCATTATACACACACAAACGCAACAGGTGGGCTGTCTGTTGAGACTGGAACCGAATAAACAAGCGCAGGTTTTTGATTTATAAATTTCTATGGATTTGAATTATTCTTAACCTAAATTTCGAATTAATTGCAGATGTTTCGACTCACTATACGCGCTAGCAAAGAAACAGTTACCCGCGAAATATGTGATCTACTTTCAGATCAATTTTAAACAAAACTAAATATGAACGACCTTCTATGCGTAGGTTAAAAAGTAAATATTCAATAAAAAAAACAATCTAAACTGATTAAGACTCTACTTTAGCGCTTGCATAGGCTGCGGTTATTAAGCAAAGAACAGACAGAGATACAAAAATGTGTAACGAAAATTATAAGAAATAACTACTATCTATTATTTAGCACAATTCACAAATCTAAAGGCAACCCTTTTTATCAATATATACATACGTAAAAAGAGTATAGAAAGAAAATTTCAAATGTGTGAACAATTGTATAGCTTTTGCAAAATATTAGCATAACAAATTGTGAACAGTTTTTGTTTACAAATTTAGTTTTCCATGTGTGTGAGTGTGAAAGTGTTACGAAAACTCCGGATCGTTAAAATTGCGTTTAAATTACTAGATCCACAACTGAATGATTGACAGTTTAATGTTTGTTTACCATTCATTCTAACCACACCATTTCAAACCACAATTTCACATTTCAAACAAAATAATAGTAATCGCAATGTTTGTTCGTTAAGAATTAAAATAGAAACATGAAATGTAATACTGAAAATTCATGGAAATCGATCAGATATAAAACGATGCAAGCATATTATTTTAAGTTGAATCCTAAAATTGTTGAACAAAGCAACCTATGCGAATAAATATGTAATTAATTAATTTTACATAAAAATTTGTTTGCTTAAAAATATGTTTGAAGGAAAACAATAATAATCAGTAGAAAACGAAATGTATAAAGGAAACAAGAAAAATAGCAATACTTTTAAAAAAAAACAAAGAATAATAGAAATACAACTTTATCTCTAATACAAGAAGGGGCGTAAGCGTGTTGCTCGTCGCTATATGATATGCCGAGAAGTATTCAATGAAATTGAAAGTTAGCGTGTATTCCTCTATAAATCGACTTGGCTTTCATTAGAAAGGAGTAAAGAATATACTGTATATACCTTTAAAATATATGAGTTCATAATACTTAATATGAATAGTTAAAAAGGAGGTTTTGTTGTAATATATAAATATCAGACAAAACTTTTGTTATCGTTATATCATTATAAACTTCAGTAACTACTATTTAATACTATACTATCGCAAGTATATGCATGCATTGATGTAAAGGAATTTAAATGAATTTAAATAATCTCATACTAGATAAATAATCTCACAGGCATGTTAAAAACCATGGATTTGCAGAACAAAATAATATTAAAATATATTTGTTTGTTGGTGTTTGTGTTGTGCGATTAAGCGATTTTTGTATAATGCATATTAACTGATATGTTTTCTCTTTTGCCTAATATTGTTATGAACTAACATAGCAGTACCGTATTTTTTATGGTTTAATAAACAGTTGACTTAGATGTAGTTGATATATCCTTTATCGTTAGGTGTCAGAGCTTTAATTTATCAATATTTGCAACAAAACGAAAAAAATCATATAATATGTTTGAAATTTCGATTAAAATTACTAAAAAGCATTCCAAAAAAAAAAAGAATTAATTAATTAAAATTTCGATAACTGATTTTTTAATAAAACATAATAGTAAAGATGTTTGAAAAAATATGATTACTTAATCGCATAACCCACATATTTTGTACAAACTCATGAACTCAAAACACCTAGTGGCAAAATATACAAGGCAGGCATAACGTGCCGCTAACAATTTATCGTTATTACAATATATTTATGTATATTATTATTGTATTTTTTTCATGCATTTAATGTATTGTAGTATAAATGTTCACAATCCAAATCTGTGCAACCTAACGAAAGAAATGTTCTCCTGCTTTTTGTACTCATTACGTTTTCATAATGATAAATAGTTGTAAGTTTACGAACAATTAAATGTTAATATGTTTTGTATTATTATATGTTTTTATGCATAATATATATAATCAACAATTTGGATTATGAACTATTTGATATTGCCGTTAAATGCAAATTACATAATATAGCGTATTCCCAAGTAGTGCTATTTATCGTATTGCTATAATAGTGTCATAGTATTAATACAGTTATAAACTTGTTTTTTACTCGAAACATTTTTATATATTACATTTTTTTGATCACAGCACTCTGACAGATCGCCTTAATGTAATATTTATATTTGCAGTTCGATCAGTTGTTTCTGTTTATCACTTTTTTCTGATTTGGGCAAAGGCGAACGTTGCAAATACAATGACTTACAATTAAATAATGTAGTAATTAATCGCTCACACGTTCCGCTTTAAAGCTGTGTAATTTTAATAGTAGTTGAATAGTATCAACTACGAAAAACAGCACTACTTGTGAACTTCATAATAGTATTAAATGTAGTATTTGTCAAATCGTCTATATTTAATGAAGCTAGTTAAGCTACGACGTTAAAAGCATTATGCTACCAGGAAAACGAATAACCAAATTCAATAAAGTATATAAACCTTATGTGAAAAATCTGCAGCCCACGAGTTATATTTACATATATATATATAGTTCTAAATGCCGCCAATAATCATACTAATACTTAATAATTTTTCACTCTACAATCACATAACACTCTGAGCTTCAGTCAACCAACCAACTACGCCACCTTTTTTTCGGGTTGGGAAATATCAATAACTATACCCATAATTTTTTTTCTTCTGTACTATATTACTACATAAACACATAGCTATATTATGACTAGCAATTACTCAGTTTATAGTGTAATGGGAGCTTCAAAGTTAAATTTTAATTTAATTGTAGCAGCAGCATGTTATGTACAGTTAAACACACCTAAAACACCTACCACAATAATATATTTGTATGTATAGAGAATTTATGTTTGTATTTATATTACAAATATAGATACACATATTATTAAGTTTTTGAATATCTGATTTGTATTAAATAAATATTAATTACATGCAAAATAATACAATAGTAATAAATAAAAATTGTTGGTAAAAAATTTGCGTATAATTTGGCAAAAAATTGAATGTTGAACTACAAGTGGAACTTCACAGCTATAAATAAAAACATATTCGAAACAGTTTATGAATTATCGTAATAAAATAATTCTATATTATTGTATATTTAAACACATATATTTAATAAAAATACAAACCAGAAATATACATAAAAGAAAAGTGTGTGTATTGAAATTTTTTGAATATTTTAGCGGCACAAATAAGTTAAGTAATGCTAAGTGACTATCTTAACGGCCAATATGTTTTTTTGTCGCTTCTTATTATTTTAGTTCAAACAGGAAATTAGTATAATAACTAATATTATTTTTAATTCTACAAACGATATTTTATAAAAACACAAGCAATTTTAGTATATAAATTTAAGAAATTACTTTCTTTATTATAACACTTTTTTGTTTACACACATTTTTATGCATATTCATTAAACATTAGATAGTCATCAACTTAAATCTCGCATTTATGTTCACCGAACTTAGCTCGGTTACTAAATATTTGAAAGAGAATGGTATTTCAATGTATCCCACAGCAGCGCCATCACCGCACAAGCGGCATGTGTCCGGCATCGATTGTAATTTACCAGTCTCTGTGCGCTTAATAATCTTCTTCAGCGGTGCTAATATACTGCCACATTTGCTGCACACTAATGTATGCGTCTTATCGGAGTTGTGGAAAAGCCGATCTTGCAGCAGAAAGGCGGCGCCATGTGATATTAAAGCATCGCGTTCCATCTCACCGAAACGTACACCACCACCACGTTTACGACCCTTTATGGGCTGTTGTGTTATGGCATCGACGGGACCAGTTGAACGCACCTGCCACTTGTCGAACACCATGTGACGCAGCCGCTGATAATGTACCACGCCAAAGAATATGTCTGCCGTCATTTCACGGCCATCTACGCCGGAGTAAAGGCGTTCAGTGCCGTAGTAATTATAACCACCGGCCTCTAGTAAGCGTCCAAAATAATCGATTGCGGTGTGTTTCTCCGAAAAGCGGAATGGTGTTGCATCGTGTACGAGACCATGTAAGGCAGCACTTTTGCCCGCCATTGTTTCGATCATCATAGCTATTGTCATACGCGAAGGGAAACCGTGAGGATTGAAAACAATGTCTGGTATAAGTCCGGTTTCACTGAATGGCAAATCCTCGGCCGGATAACGTTGTGAACAGATGCCTTTTTGTCCAGCACGTGAAGCGAATTTGTCTCCTATTGTGGGTGGACGTGGTATGCGTAGAGTTACGCATACCATACGGCGTACGTTCGCCTTAAAGCTGCCGCAATAGCGTACGCTATCCACAACGCAATCTTCCTTTTCGTCTAATTTTACAACTTTATATGTGGAGGTGTCAGCGTCAAAGTAACTATATTTAGTAAAAAAAAAAAACAAAAATAAAAAAATTTTACAAAAGTATATATATCGCATGTTTCATTGTATTTACCAGTAGAAAGGGCAACCATGCCAAAGTTTTGTGCCAGCATGTGGCAAACCGTCATTGTCCAATATCTTATTCAACTCTGGCAAATGTGGACTACGCACAAAATAACTTGCACCATCCAATTCGATGAATTTCGATTTATATATGCTGCCATATGCGAAGCCACGCTCATGTGCAGACTTGTTTATTATCATGGCATCCTCCATATCGTAGCCGGTGTATGAAATAACTGCCACTATAGCGTTGGTGCCCATGGCAAAGTCATCGAGTTGAACATTGTCGTGATGCACTGGTCGGAAGAGCGGTGTTGTGGGCGTTTGCAAGCGGTACAACTTGTTAGCTGCCTGCTTGGGCCAGTTAAGACATGGCGTGCCCATAGTTTGCTTACCCATCTGACACTGATACATGTTTCTGCGAATTTATTTAAATAAATAATATTTTTTTTTGACATTTTATTTCAAAACATACCTTGGCGATTGATTGTAGTCCGGCATTGGTATTAGATTTGCCAAGTTGCTAAGAAATTCGGTCTTTGACAATTCCATATGTGTTGTGAAGCCAGGATAAAACTCTTTCAAATCAATGGCAATATCCATGTACACTTGCTCCAGCGAGCCAATGTATTCAATTTTTCCAAGCGCTAAATTCTTCACTGGACGCATTAGGCGTGCTGGTCCAACAAAAAGAAATAAACCTGGAAACTGGCCCTTAGCTTTATAAGGTATGTAGGCAATTTCCATCATTTCAGGTAGGTGTCCTTCAATCTTTAGCAAACGCAGTTTATTTACTATTTTGTCTGCATCTGCTTGGCGAATGTGCCCTAACAGTCTGCCTTCCAGAAAGACAACAAATAACTTGGCATTTGAATCGTAGACTTCCGAATCTAACGGTATCATGCCCATTTCTATTAGGTATTTGGGTATAGCCTATAAAAGATATAAAAAAGTTTGGTAAAAATTTTTATTTTCAGTATAATTTACAAACCTTAACTAGCTCTTTTTTCGGTATGCACGATATGCGACAAGATACAGTCAAGTGATTAAGCAAACCACAAGGTGCACCATCAGGCGTATGGACGGGACAAATGTAGCCCCAAGCATCCGGTAACAATTGACGTGCTTCGGTTGTACGCATTGTGGTAAAGTATGAACCACGATGTACTGCACGAAAATGTGACATGTAACGAATGCGATTTATATTTTCTGCCATCACAACCAAACCAGAATTCTGCATCAGACCCAATCCAGAACGCGAAGGCGCATTACCGGTAGCGAGGAAGGATTCCATGGCGTGCGAAACCCCGCCTGCAGTTCGTAAACAATTTATAAGCAGAGTTGGGGTTATGAGCGCGTCTGGGGCTTCTAAACGTCGAAGTAAATACTTTTTCGCATATTGTAGCCATAGTTCAATACGATCAGCTAAAAATTTCTGATACAAGTGACCTAAAATGTGAAAAAACTTAAATATTTCCAGGTAATTTAGAAAAAAATACAAAATACTTACCAGAAAGTAGAACCTCTTGCATCATAACCGAATCTACATTTTCGATTTTATAGTTTCCTTGTGCACATTGAAACAATTTTTGCACCATAAATACTAACATATCGAACTTTTCTCTATGTGTTTTCAAGTGTATGAGTATTCTTTCATTTAGAATGAAGTCAGTAATATTTGCATCGGTTTTCCATTCGGGCACTTCAGGGAATTTTGAACGGAAAATCTTTCCCAAATAAGATTTACAATCCTTATGCGTATGCAATCCCTCACCGTGCACATCTCTAAGCATTGTCTGTACACATGATACATAATACTGATCTTTTTCATAACCACGTACTAGGTGGCAGTAAATCTGTTCATCAGTAAAGTCCATCAAACAGCGTAATATAAGACATATCGGTATATATGACATCATTTTCATTTGGGAAAACATAAGTTTTGCAGTTCCGTTGTTGAGAAAGTGTAATACATTGTTATATGAGGTCTCATCTTCTCGCACTGTGCGCACCATTATGCCAATTTCACTAAAATTTGCACCGCGATCTTTCCATGAGGAGCGTTTCACTGCGATTGGGTAATTGCGTCTACTCATCAGCAACATACGTATAATACGTTCATTGCCTTTAATGATAAATATTCCTCCCCATTCAGTATCGTGTTCGCCATGTTTTACCATTTCCTCCGGCTTGAGTGAACCGATATTGCACGCACTAGACTTAAGCATTATGGGTACCTCACCGAGATCAACATCTATTGGTGCCTTCTCCAAACCGCTAACTGTCCATCCCACACGCACAGTGCAAATACCCATGTATGAGGTATGTAATTGTCTTGACTCTGTAGGGTATGTCAAACGATTCTTCACATCTATTACAGCCATAGGTACTTGTGGACGAGCAATTTGTATGCTTTCTATACGGAGTTCTATTTGTTCGCCAGCTGGTGTTTTAAAGCTAACTGGGGTCATATACTTTGCACAATTCGTCAAGCCATCGGTTAACATTTCATTGAAGGAATTCAAATGTGGTGCTCCCAAATTTTCTAAATGCTAATCGAAATTGGGAGAAATGTTACAAGTTTCATACAAAGAATTAAAAGTAACTTACCTCATTGAGTTTATCTGGGAATTTTTTAAAGTCGGGACGACTATTTGTAAATGTCGGATATAATTTCATTATAAAGCGTTTTATTTAAGTGTTCAATTCCAAAAATCACATTTAAAATTAAAAACAAACGTGAAATGAACGAAATGTTATCAAAATGTCAAAATAGTCGCTCGCTCGCACGTGTTGTGGCAGCGAAATATGCATAATTTCCCTGGATGCAACACAATCATTTGTTTTTTTGAACAACAGGTATAAAATGATTCGATTTTCTTAATTCAAGATATCGTATTTATAATAATTTTGAATAATACTAAAAAGTTATATCATTTCTATTAACGACAGTTTTCGAATAATGGGAACTATGACGTTCTTATTGTTTTATTGATAGAAATTACTAAACGAATAATTTAGAATGCTGCAGAGTTAAAGTCTTTAAACAAATACAATTTCTGGCATTATGTAAAATATTACCAGGATTTTGCTATAGAAAGATATAACATTTGTGGTTATTCTTGAGTTCGAACCACTTCACGTTTTTATCTATTAAGCTAAATAACAGTGTTTAATACTAGACCGGTATGGTTATCTGTAAAAAACTTCAATTAGCGTCCAGACTTAAGACAAGGTCGAGCCCAAAAATTGTTCACTAAATAGCTTAAACACAATACGGACCGTCGGACGAATTTTCGCAGAGTGTTGCCGCCGTGTAAAACACAATACGGACGATTTTCGTCGCAGCTAGTGTATATTCCGCGCTCAAATATATCACAATAAATGACAAAACCAAATATAAACAATCTTAATACTTTGACGCCGCTGTCGGCGATAAAAATTAGAAATAGCTCTATCTCAAAAATCGTCATGGCGGTCGAAATTCGCCGCCGTTGCGTATTGTGTTCATCTTCATATACAATCGTGTGTTCTAATCACCGACGGCGTCGCTGCGTACGACGAGTTTTCGTCGTCGCCCATACTGTGTTTAAGCTTAAAAGTCGTCATACACGACAAACATGTGCTAGAGCTGCAAAATCTACCGATAGTCGGACCACTCGATAGTTTCGATAGTTTAAAAAGATACTATTTACTTATGTTTCGTTGGTTTAAATTAAGAGACCTTGGCTGTATACAATTCATGTTTATTAAATAATCATTAAATTTATTTATAAAACAAAACATGAACTATAACGGAAAATACAAGAACATTACTAAAGTTGCACATACAATTTTTCATGTTACCATATAAACTGCTACACTACTACATTTTTTATACATTTACAAATGTAATATAAGAACAAGAAATTTATACTTAACATACGTTTCAGTTGAATACTGTAATACTCAATTCACTTGTTGTTGTTTAAAAATAATAGTTTGATGACTTTTTTAGCTTTTAGTGCCGTTATCCTATCTAATATTAGCAATTCATCATGGCCAAACATTTTCTCCGACCTTGTAGAAGTAATTTATTAGAAAGTGAGCAGCTAGATTTTGCTTGTGATTAACATGGCAGTGAATAAATTTTTCAGTAAGATAATGCCCCAATCCACGTGGCAAAGGAGACAAAGGAATTCTTTAACTTCCGACAGACTCAATTACTTTAGTGGCCTGCATGAGTACATACATATAAGGTTGTCAAACTTTCCGCTTTTTTGCTCTTCATTCAATGCTTTATAAAAAGTGTTACAGTGATCGGATTTAGTTAAAATATGCGCCGTTTTGTTCGATGATCTGTTTCCATCTAGACGGCAACTTCATAATACCTTCCTCGTAGAAGCCCCCTCCTTATTTGCGAAGAATTCGGACAGCCACTTTTCACAAGCCTCTTTTGAGTTCAACTTCACACCACCAAGAGCATTCGCAATGGACAGGAACAGGTGGTAATCACTTGGCGCTACGTCCGAGCTCCCGTAGCTTCTGACGAGTCATCAACGAAGTGTGTGGTCTGGCGTTGTCCTGGTGGAACACTACACCCTTCCTGTTGGCCAATTCTGGACGCTTCTGGTCGATCGCCTGCTTCAAGCGGTCCAGTTGTTCGCAGTAGATGGTAGAATTAAGCGTCTGGCCATATGGGAGCAGCTCATAGTGGATGATTCCCTTCCAATCCCACCAAACACACAGCAAAACCATCCTGGCCGTCAATCCCGGCTTAGCCACTGTTTGGGACGATTCACCGGCCTTCGACCACGACCGTTTTCGCTTGATATTGTCGTATGTGATCCATTTTTCGTCGCCAGTCATCATCCGCTTCAAGAATGGGACGAGTTAGTTCCGTTTCAGCAGCATATCGCAGGCGTTGATTCGGTCCAGAAGGTTTTTTTGCGTCAAATTATGCGGCACCCAAACATCAAACTTTTTTTTGTATCCAGCCTTCTGCAGATGGTTCAAAATGGTTTGGTGACTAACTCCCATCTCCTGGGCGATGTCACGAGATGTTATATGCCGGTCTAACTCGATGTATTCCATGATTTGATCGGTATTTGTCGTCACAGGTCTTCCGCCGGCTGGCTTATCCATGGTGTCGTTTTCACCGGCTCTGAATCGTCGAAACCATTCCTCCGCGGTTCGAAGTGATAGAGTACCATCCCCCAAAACACCATTAATCTCACGGAACGTTTCTCTAGCGGATTTGCCTTTAACGAAGGAAAACTTTAAAATAGCGCGAATTTCGGCGTTAGTGAACTCCATGTTTACACGTCTATAACTGTTGAACGCAATATCCAAACTAATCATGCATAGCGTTGTTTTGTAGGTTATGTCAAGACCTTTCAAATTATGTATAGTGTTGCCAGATACGAGCTCTGTAGCGCTTTGTACATAGCCGCGAAATTCAAAAGACAAAAAAGCGGAAGGGAGATATTTGACAACCTTATATATTGTGAAATTCGGTCACAACAGAATGTTCACATAATATATTTCAATTTCCTAATTTTATTCTCCAAATTCAGGTGTAATAAATAAAATAGAGATTACTTGACACGGTTCTTTATACATATTAAAATATGGAGAACCGTGGCGTTAAAAATGCGGAATTGCGGCCGCATATAAGAATAAGTAAGATTATGTGCAGCCGGCTTTTCAATACAATAGAAATTCTTACCTAATTGTAAATATTTCCGGAACATTCCTTCTAACACATCCAACAGCTAAATAAAGCGTAAAAAATAATTTGAAACCCGCCCACGCAACCAAGCCAAGAATGAAAAGATTATTTTAAGGCTACCAATTGGACTACATATTTTTTATTACCAGACTATATCATAATGTAGCTAAACTAAATAAAATTTTATGAAAATTGTTAGTAAGTCAAAGTAAGTTAAGGCCCAATCCATTGATAGTCAAAATAAACTATTGATAGTGAAACGAAAATAAAACTATCGATAGTCCCATCGATTGTTTTGCAGGTCTAGTATGTGCGCAAGTGAGATTTACTCGTGTTTGGGCTTGTGTGCACACATTTGCTCATTGTTGGTATAATGTGATGTATAAATACAGTGGAGTGCATAAAAATGCTATTATAATAAATTTATGTAAGAATTATAGATAGATAGATTAGTTGTGAGGTATGCACCGCGACCTATGGTCAATTGTGCCCTCCCCTAAGTCATATCGACTCATCTAGCCCCAGCATGTTGATAAACTCCAATATTCTGCTGGGTGCTAGTGAAGCGATATAATCCCTGTTTGGAAACATGGACCCTAGGGCCTTGATTCTGCGGCTGCAGACTGCTGTACAGTTCATTAACAGATGTTCTGGGGTTTCCGGCTCCATGTCACAGAACCGGCAGTTTGCAGAAGAGATTAAGCCCATGTTGAATAGGTGCTTATTGAGCCTGCAATGGCCAGTGTAAAACGCGACAAGCAGCCGTTATTTGTTCCTCGGGAGATTGATTACGACTTTAAACCGCCGTTTGCGGTCATAACCCCGCCTTAGCAACTTAGCATGGCGCATGCCTTGAAGTTGTTGCTATTGCCTCTCACTGCCTGCTGTTTCCTCCCTACGGATCAGCTCTTTAATGGTATGTGTGACCAACCGCTATGCATGGTACCGGTCCTACCATTTTTGTGTAGGCTGCAGAACGGCCCAACTCGTCAGCCAGTTCGTTCCCGGCTATACCCCTGTGGCCAGGCACCCAAATAAGGTGCACACGGTTGTGGTCTGATAAGCTGTTCAGCCGTTCTATACACTCCTGAACTAGAAGCGATCTGACCTCATAGGCAGAGATCGCTTTTAGTGCCGCCTGACTATCGCTGAGTATAGCAATACTTTTATTGCGATAGTTGCGTTGGAGGTTTATCTCTACACACCGACTTATAGCATAGACCTCGGCTTGGAAAATGCTCGGAAAACTTCTCATGCGAATGGAGAGTTTGGTGCTTGGCCCAGCGACCCCTGCACCAATCCCTTCCGCCGTTTACAAGTCGTCGGTGTACCACTTGATAGGGCTTTCCCTTAGCAGCAGGTCCATTGATGAATCATTCCATTCTGCCCTGCTGCCAAGGGTAACTTTTTACTTCTTAGTGAAGCTTAATACTTTGGTAATGCTGTCCCTTGGGAGAAGGGCCAGTGGCATTTCCTCACTTAGCGCCTTCATCTGCTGGGACGAGATTACCTTCCCTCTGCTGCCATTTGGAGCAGAGTCTGTTTGGCTGTCTGTTTGATTACCATATGTAGCGGTGTAAGTTCTAGCATTACTACCAGTGCGGCAGTCGGACACGTACGCATTCCGCCCGGTGCGCAGATGAAGGCAAGCCTTTGCAGCTTCGACAGTTTAAGTCCTATCGAAGTCTGCGATGTTTAAGAAATATCAAAATATCCCTGACAGCGGATTCCATTGCTAGTTAGCAGCTCAAGGAGATCGTCCACAACTAGGCTCCAAAGTAGGGGTAGTACGTAGTACGGCTGGGATCCATGTGCGTACTGGTGCTGCCACACTCCTTTTCTTCAGTGCTTTTGACACGCTTTCGTGAGACGTATTGTCAAAAGCACCTTCGATATCAAGGAAGGTGCATAACATCACCTCGCCCCCATCTAACGAACTCTGGATCTCCGAGGTTAGCTGACACAGAGCAGTATTTGTTGATCTGCCTGCTCTGTCTCTTCGATCGTATTTCGTGGTCTATGATCTTTTCCATACTCTTGAGCAGGAAGGGAGTAACACTGATTGGCCTGAAGGATTTCGCCAATGAGTAGTCTTTCCTTCCTACTTTGGGTATGAAGATTACCTTTGCAGTGCGCCATGGTTCTGGGATATATGCCAGCGCTAGGCTATCCCTCATCAGCCGAACAAGCTGGGGCAGTAGTACCTGCTCCCCCTGTTGCAGAAACGCTGGAAGGATGCCATCCGCACCCGGAGACTTATATTTTTCAAAGGAGGCCAAGGCCCACTTGATGGAGTCTGCAGTGAAGAGCTGTTTTGCGACTATACAGTCTAAGCGTGATGGTATAGGTCCCATCCGTCTTTTAATTGCTGGTACTGTGTCCGTCTTGCCTCTAGCCAGAGCCTTGCTGCCTCTGGCGTTGAGGAGACGCTTTCACACAGCTTCTTGAAGCTCTTCTGCTTCCTAATCTCCTTATTGTAAGCAGTTAAGCTGCACCTATAATCGTCCCAGCTTCCGGTGCGCTTAGCCTTGTTAAATAGCTTGCGTACCGCTTTTCTTAATTTTGAGAGTCTACTAGACCACCAGGAGCAGTTGCGACTCTTGGTGGTTGTCTTTAGGGGACAGCTGCTGTGATATGCCTCTATAATGGATTCGCTTAGAGCAGACAATCTGCTTTCCTATCCAGAAGCTGTAGCACTTCTATCTAGTGCTAGCATCACTCACCCCAGTTGGGAGATGCCGAAAATGTCTTGCGACTTAAGCCTCTGCACCACGGCAAGGTGCCTGCCATTCGCAGAGGTATCAAAAGTAACAGTGATTTATCAGCTCCAGATTAATCGAATGAATATCCGAGTATTTTTTCAAAAAGCGAATGAATTGCATTGTATTTCCTGTCCTGATTAATTGAACCATTAATCGCTTAATTACTAATTTAATCAAATCTTCTTCATATCAAAACTCGGGCTACATCTCGCTTCAATATTGACCAATCCGGCATCACTGCTCGTGAACAAAAGAACCTTGCCAATTCTTAGAATGCCATCACTGATTTCAATGTAAAGGCACATCACTGTTTTTGTTAATATATCACAAAATCACAAAAATGGATTTAAAAAGTTTTTCCATATGATTACATATATATATGTGTATAATAATATTTAATCTTTATATATAAATGTTGGGTATTTTAATTTAAATGCCCAAAAATTATTATTTTGTTCGATCTGACTACAATGGAAAATGTTATAAAAAACGCTAATTTTGAGGCGCTCTCACAATGAAAAGAGTTGGGCATCCCATTACCCCTGCGCATCACTATCTTTGCTAATTCGGAAATTTAAACCCACCTGTTCAAAATGGCAAATCTTTGGAAAATTAATTTTACCTATGAGCCCTTTATAGCAAAAAGCGGAGGCACAATAACGATACATTTCTTCAAGAGGAGCTAAATTTTTATTTTAATTGCCAAGTTCTAGATCTGAAACGAACCACTGCCGAGGCATGGGAAGAAATGAAGATTGTTTATGATAAACTTTATCTACTTTCCTACAAACAGTCGCACTTGATTGGTACATCCGTACCCACA